TACCCCTGGTGGTCCTCTGGAGCCCCCTCCATGTGCAACGTCGTCCTTGGAAGCAAGCGGTACAAGTGATGCATGGTCTCGGAAGTGTTCGACGTCAACCCGGAGTGTTCCGACTTGGCATGTTGAATTCAGGCGGACCTTTTACCCCGGGTGACCCGTCCTCTGGAGCGAATGGGGTGTTCGCTCCCTCCTCTGCGCTTACCCTGTGCTCTTGGAATACACGTGCTCTCTTCTCTTCGTACTCTACGTTGTCTCCATTGGCAGCTAAGCGGCACAAGCAGATGCATGGTCTTGTCGGCAGGTTCGACGTTGTGTGTTTACAGGAGACTCATGGCACAGTGTCGGATGTGGAGATGTTACAGCGGGGTGACCGTTGCCGTAATGCAGTTATTCCCATTCGATGATCGATCCGAGAGCTGGGGGCGGTGTGGTTACTGTCATCTCGAGTAAGCTGGCTTCGCAGTTCGAATCGATTTCCTCGTTCCCGTTGATTGCTGGCCGAGTTCTCGCTTCGCACCTGAAAGGATGTCGTGGGGACTTAGTGATTGTCAATGTACACATGCCGAACACCTCGGATCATGTTGCGATGTATCGCAGGTACCTTTGCGTGATTCAGGCTTTCCTTCCTTTGGCTGCGCACACCATGTGCTTGATTGCAGGGGATTGGAACTTTATGGAGGTGGAGGAGGGGCGGTTCCGTACTGATGGCACGTGGCTAGCAGGAGATAGGGAACACACCGATGCATTTCAGTCTATCTGTGGGTCTTGGGCGGAGCTTTTCCAACCTGATCCGACGCGGCGGGATGTGTTCCAGGGAGAAGTTCGTGGGGTTGCCCGCCTGGGCCGCATCTACACTTCCCTCCCTGCCCCCGTTCTGAATGACTTAGCTGTGACAGTTAATACCTTGGGACATGCAGTGAAGACCTTCGCCTCGTCCGACCATATCCCCGTTGTTGCTACTGTCGCTCTGAGAATGCCATCGGCGTTGCCCACCCAGATTCCTAAATGGATTTCCCGTCATTGTGTTTACCATGAGTTGTGTGCCAGCGCCATTATGGAAATCGACCAGGATCTGACCCCTCGGGAGAAATTGGCTCGGGTGAAGGAGATTTTCTGGCAGATGGCCCCTCAGTTCAAGGCTCGGCTTCGGATGAAGCCTCCGAAGAGAACTGTGAGAAGCTCCACTTTGCTATGATGGCCTTCCGTGGGTGGCGCATGGGCAGGTTCGACCAGTGTGTGCGCGCGATCCGTGCGCATCCGCGGTTGCTTCAGTACTTCGATCCTGACCATGGAGATGCGTGGATATAGCAGGATTGGGTGCTTTGGTGCAGTCTCTGAAGGATGCTTGGCATGAGTCGGAGGAGCGGGCGATGGACGGATGGGGGAGGACGAGAAGTCTAAGGCTAAGGCTATGGCACGCTTGCAACACCTTCGTCGAGCCTGGTCCAAGATGCGTCGGCGATACGGGCTCTCTGGAATCCTGGACAGCGCAGGGCAAGTTTGCCCTTCCCCGACGGCCTCTGCTGAGGCCCTTCGGGACCATTGGCAAGCGATTTTTGCCGCCAAGGAACCTGATCGGACCCTTTGGCCTGGAATCCTCGCCCATGCCCAGCCAATCCAGTTGGACTCCTTCGCAGTGGAAGTTGGAGGTCGACGGTTTCATTGAGCGGGCCCAATTCAAGCATCATTCTGCTCCTGGGGAGGATGGCATTCCGTATGGGTGCTGGAAAGCTGGGGGGGCCGCTGAAGTTCTTTTTGCTGTTTATGAGGAGATGTATCAGGCGTCGGGGGGTACTGTCTCTGCGTGCATGCGTCGTGGAAGGATGTGTTTTCTGCCCAAAGACCTCAAAGACGACGAGAACCCCGCGGCCCTCGTTCGGTCACCTGCTAAGACCCGACCTCTCACACTTGCGAACACCGATGCGAAGCTCCTGAGCGACGCGTTCTCCATTGGCCTCCAGCGGGCTGCTCCGACCGTGATCGACACGATCCAGCGAGGGGGGGTCGCGCGACGTGGGCTCCTTGACAACGTGGTTGAGATTGAATGGTGGGGTCTTCGTCAGATGCTTACTGGTGGGGATCGCTCGGGAATTCTCTTCACGGACTTTAAGGCTGCGTTCCCCTCTCTGATCGTCTCCTGGATCCTAGCGGTCTTGGATGCTATGGGTGTTCCTGGTGAAGTTTTGTGGTTTTTATCGTGAGCTATACCGTGACAATGTGGCTGTTATCAACTTCCCTGGGACTACTGGTATCGAGTTTTCGGTGGAACGTGGTGTGCGGCAGGGAGATCCTGCGTCGATGCTACTCTTCGCTTGTGCGCTAGACCCAGTATTGCGCTGGATGAGGTCTAGGCTCACTGGCCAGGTCCCCCGAATTAGAGCATGCGCTGATGATCTCGCGTTCTGCCTTCCCAACATCCTGACGGACCTTCAGCCGACGCTTTCGCTCCTCCGTAAGTTGGAACATGCGGTAGGACTGGGGTTGAACATTCCTAAATGTAAGGTATTGGTGATTGGCTCGCTTGATCCTGATAGATTAGTTGCCCACCTTCGAGCCAAGGGGAGTGAGTATCATCGCATTGGGTTTGTTCGCGTTGTTTTGTACCTGGGATTTTGGCTTGGGCCTGGTGCTTTGGATAAAGTATGGAGCAATACCATTCCCAAGTTCTGGATGACGGTTCGGAGGCTCCGTGGTCTTGGGCTAGGACTTCCTCAGACTATTCGTCTTTTTCACTCGCACTGCATGTCGATATTGGCGTACCAGCTACAACTCTGTCCTGTGACTACGGCTCTTCGGAAAGCGTATAATGAGGCCCTTCAGGTGATCACTGCTGGTCCCCGCCATGCCTTCTCGAGAGAGATGCTGACGGGCTTGCGTGCGCTGGGAGCCTCTCTAGAGTGCCTGGACATCGATTGTTTTTCGAAGGCCATCAAGTTTCGGGTGTTGATGTCTTGCTCCAGTATTGATGCTGTCCAGTATGAGATGGAGTCCTTGACGGTTTCTCTGGATGACGATAACTTCATTCCTGCTCGACTGAGCTGGCCCTGGTGGAAGTCTTCCTGGATCAGGACGACGGTGAATGCAGTAGGCAATTTCTCGATCCCGACCCTGGAACCCATCCCCAATAAATCCCTTCAGAAGAAAGCTGTGCGCAAGCTCAGAGGGCTCCGCGACCCCATTGTTCCCCTCCGCACCATGGTGCAGAGGGTGTCCAAGTGGGTGGGCCCCGACCGTTTTACTGTTGCTGACTTTCAGGTGCTTGCCCAGGGGATGCGTAAAGTGGAGAAGGACAGCGCGATGCACCTCGTCACGTGGGTCCTTAGAGTGCTCTGCCGAGGAGTATGTACCTCTAGTCGTCTGCATACCACGGTGGTGGGCTGCGCATTTGGGTGTCCTCTGGATGTGGCCAATGACGATCTGAGGCATTATCGCGTGTGCCCCAAGTTGAAGGCTGGGTTGACTGACATATTCCCCCGTGGTGGACTTCTGAGGACCTGGGCCGAGGCTCGCACGGGCGAGGACTGGCTCCTCACGCTTTGTTGTCTGGGGCCACAGTGGGGACTGTCACGGGACCTAGTGGGGTGTGCCTTAATTGATTGTTTTTTGGCTGCGCACAATGCTCGCAGGACTGGTTCGGCCCAGCCTGGGGACTTCCCGATTAAAGCCAGGCTTCGGCAGTTGTCCCGTCGGCACCCCAGGCTTAACGAGGCCCTTCGTGCTCTGCGGGCCCTGTTGCTGCTGCCGCCCCTCCCCCTGCCTTCCCTGCTCCTCCTGCCGTGTCCCCCTCCCCTGAGTTGCCGTGTCCTTTTTTCTTGTTGTTCCCCATTTCCCCTGTGGCCCCTATTGATTTAGGTCCATGCATGATGCTGTCAGAGTGTGATGTGACCCTTGTGGGTGTCTCGGGTTGGCTGGCTGGTTTTCCGTGGTTTACTTTTCGTTTGTGCCGTTTCTGCACTGATTCTTCTGGTTAATTCAGGGCCCCGTGTTGTAGCCTGGGTTGTGAGAGCCTGTCAGTGCTCTCTGTGACCTCTCCGCTTGCAGGCGAAGACTGGACGGTGCGCGGGAGAGTGTGCCTCTCTTGCCGCGCCGCCCCCCCGCCTCTCTCTGCCGCCTTGCCCGTGCTTCTCTCCTGTCCGTGATCTACAGGTTCCCCGACGGACGGGCGGTCTGGTTCGCTTGGCCGTGGGTCGTTCGCTGCGTCGGTAGGGTAGGGTGGCCTTCCCGCGACGCCAAGCCGTGGCGCCTCCAGACACCCGTTGCGTCTGGCGCGGAGGAGGTCGTTCTCCTCTTCTGCGCCCCGCCGCCGCCCTCAGGTCCCCGACGAAGTTCGAGGCGCCCCGGCTGCCGCCCCGCGCGAGGGAGCGAGGGAGTGTTCCCCGCTCGCCCTCAGGTTCCCGACGATGTTCGAGGCTCAGTGGCGGCTGCCATCAGGTATTCCCTCCCTCTCTGTGTTGGGTTCTCGTTTTTGGGGCGCGCCCCTTTTGTCTGCTCCTGCTTGCTGCGGTGTTGGGTGGGTCCTCGGTCAGCCGTGGAGCGAGCGTGGCATGGGACGGATGCTCGAGCGTTGATCCCCTTGTGTCCTGTGTGCCTGGGGGGGCGCGCCCGCCAGGGATCATGTGCACTCGGAGCTGAGTACCCGCCGCCGCTTCTCTTTGCCTGCCTCTGCTGCTGCCTCTCCCCCCCTCCATGCATGTTGGCTGCGCGGCCCCTTTGCATTGAGATTTTTAGTGCGGATCTGACACTTGGACTTGGTGTGTGCGCCAGCGGTGGAAAAAAAAAAAAAAAAAAAAAAAAAAAAAAAAAAAAAAAAAAAAAAAAAAAAAAAAAAAAAAAAAAAAAAAAAAAAAAAAAAAACTCCTCCTCCTCCTCCTCCTCCTCCTCCTCCTCCCCCTCCTCGGCAGAAGCCTCAGCGCGGCCCCCGGGCCGAGCGCCCCCCCGCGCGCGGGACAGGCCGGCGCGCCGCTCGCGCCGCCACCCGCGTGCGCGCGCGGCGCCCCCAGTCCGAGTGCTTCGCGTGCGGCGAGCCGAAGCCGAGCGGCGGTGGCGGCGGGCGCGGCCGGAGCTACGACCGCGGCGGCGGCGGGCGCGGAGGTGCTCCCGCGCCGCGGGGCGGGTGTCCCTCCGTCCTCCCTTCCTTCCCCCCCCTTCCCTCCCTTCCCGCGCGCCTCCCCGACTTCGTTCGTCTGTCGTCCGTCGCTCGTCTGCCGTCTTGTGCCACTGGGCTCCGTCGGCGCTGGTTACAAACAAAGACGCGAGGAGATCCGGGGGTGGTCGCGCTGCTTTTTGTTCGCCGCAAGCCCGGGGGTGTTTTGCAGTGTCGGCGTCCAGGGTAGCCGTTTCTGGGCTCCCGGGCCACCACCCGCGGATTCGGGACGGGACCCTGCCCCCAGGAAAGGGTTCGAGAGTTTTGGGGCCTGCGAACTGGAACAGAGCGCAACATCCGTCGGAGTTCTGCAGCCCCCCGCGTCGCACTGAGGACCGCGACGGAAACCTAGCCGTCGTTTTTGTTGGCCTCCAGGGCCCGTCTCGTTGCGAGGCTCTCTCAGGACGAAAATCCGGCCCCAGAACGAATATCTGGCCCAGAGGATGGGTTCAGGATCCTCGGGTGCCCATGCCACGAAGCAAAAGCGACGTCGGATGAGAAGTTCCCTTTGTCCCCCTCCTCCCCTCCCCTTCCTCTTCCCCCCCACCTCCCCCCTCCATCGTTCCTTCCCCATTCCCCTCCTCCTCCCCCTCCCCCCCTCTCCCTCCCTTCCCCCACCTCTTCGGGGCGGGCGTTGCGACGAGAGCAACCCGTGGGCTTAGCGGTGGCCGCGCTCCACCCGCAGGCTACGACGACCGCGACGACCGGCGCGGCGGCGGGGGCCGCTACGACGACCGCTACGGCGGAAAGGGGCGTGGGGAACCATGTCGACCCTGAGATCCCGGCGTTGCAGTTTTTTCGCAGAGGGCGTTTTCGCCCAGTTCCAGGCCCTGGGGCGCTCACATATCGATCTGGCTTGACAAAATGGAGCGCGAAGACGAGGTCTAGGCCTCCGGTGGTGATGTTGCACGATCTTGCAATTTTGCCGCGACGTCGGATCTCAGTGTATGTGCCCCCCTACGGCAGGTTCGTGTCATGTAGACGCGGCAGCGGCCCCAGCGCGAACGCCGGCGCCGCCTGGAATCGGCCGGCATCGGACGACATGCGTCACCGTGCAGCCGCGATCGCCAAAGGGCCAAAGGTCGAACGATCCACGCGGTGTCAAAGACCAATGCCGGGGTCGTCACGACACGGATCTCCGCGGGCGGGAAACATAGCTATCCATATTCACAGCCTCTCGGGCCTGGCCCCTGGGACGCGACCCCGTCGACACGGGGCGTTTTTCTCGGATTCCTCGCGCTGAACGTCGACCGCGTAATCATCCATGGAATCGCGCTCCCTGAATCTAGGCTGCGAGGGCGTGGACAACGGCACCACGGTCCAGGACCCGTTTCCTCAGGACCCCCTTCGCTCTTGCCTGATCAGATCAGGGAGTCCGAAGTGGTTGCAGCAACAATGACCACGAAGACCGACAGCAGCTCGTGCCCATTTTGGACAGGATTCGCTGCCGGCGTCGCCGCGGACGCTGTCCATATTGAAACGAACGCCGCCTTCTCAACAGCGGCAACTGTCGTTTTTGGGGCCCCGTATGCTTGTAGGTATCGTGCCCATGTTTTCTATACCAATCTCGGGTGTGCCAACCAAATGCCAGCGACCAGGACATGGCAAACCAGGGCTTCGCCAAGTCCATTCGGAGAAATCGAAGGATATAGAAGGTTTTGACCCACGGCTGAAATGGTTGTTGGGTGCGCCAGCGTCCTGGTTTGCAAATGGTCCCCCTTTACGGGACCCTGACCCTCCCCCCCAAGCCAGGGTTGCCTACGATTCGATTCGATGCGACTCGATTCACCGGATGTGGCTGCCATTCCAGTTCGATTCGATTCGATTCGGTTCGATCTTCGATCATCGGCCAGGGCCAGGGCCAGCTGGAGCCAGGCACGGCGATCCGATCTTGATCCGATTTGGGGCAATTCGCTGGCGATCAGATTTGTTTCCGATCCGAGCCAATTCCGCGGTTCCATCCAGCTCAGGCGCGCCAGCTTGCCATCCCCACAGAAGAAGATTTCGGGCGGACTGTTTTTGTGGCCGTCAGACAACAACTCGAGACGAAATGCAGGCCCCAGGGCGAAACGCTGGCCCAGGGGAAGGGTTCGAGACCTTCGGGGACCCATGCCACAAAGCAAAAAGCGACTTCGGAGGAGAAGGTCCCCTTGCCCCTCCTCCCCTTCCCCTCCTCTCCCCGCCCTCCCCCCTCCATCCATCCTTCCTTTCCCCTCCTCCCCCTTCTCCTCCTCCTCCTCCTCCTCTTCCCTGGGTGGGCGATGCGACGAGAGCAACCCGTGGGCTCAGCGTTGGCCGCGCTCCACCCGCAGGCTACGATGACCGCGACGACCGGCGCGGCGGCGGGGGCCGCGGGGGCGACCGCTACGACGACTACGGCGGAAAGGGGCGCGGGGAAGCATGTCGACCCGCTTGGTTTGGGGCCCTATGGTGCGCTCACGTATCGATCTGGCTCGAATAACGGAACAGAATACTGGTACAGGGCTCTGGTGTTGGTAGTTCTCGATGTCGCAGCTTTATCGCGACGTCGGATTTTAGTGCATGGAGCCCGGCCACTTGCAGGGCAGGCTCGTGCCGTCTCGATGCCAAGGCGAGCCCAGCGCGGGCGTGCAATACCGAACGCCGCCGGTGGCCCAAAATTCGGTCGATGTGGAACGACCCGCGCGGCGTCGGAGGTCAAAGCCGAAGCTTCGCTGCCCTGGTACGCCCGTGTTGAATCGCAGCACGTGCCGTGTTCAGAACCTCCGTGGTAACACGCCTCGTTTTGGCTCGACGCCTTGGCCCGCGTCTTGGCGAACGCGCCGCGCCAACCGTACACGTCTTGGACCTGCGTGTGGAGCTCCGTGCCACCGCGCTGCGGGTTGCGCGTGGCGTCTTGGGGCAGCCGAGAGCCGCCGCCGTCACGGCACGGACATGCCGCAGCTCAGGGCGGTCTCAGTAGACCGGGCGCCCCGGCGGGGAGGGCCTGGGGCCGCGGCGGAGCCGCTGAGGCCGCCCCAGGCCACCCTCCGGAGGCGATCTTTGCACGGCCCCCGGCTTCGAGGAGGGGATCCGCTGCAGAATTGTTCCTACCCCGAAAGAGTGTTTTTTTCTCGCCGCGTCTACGACACACGATGCGCAGAATGCTTCGTATATCTACGAAGCATTCTACGCACTCGTTCGCAGATTCGACGGGGAATCAATGCATTCGTCAATATCTACGCATTCGTTAGTAGTCGTTCCCGTGCTCGAGGGCTCCTCCACGGGCCCATCGGAGCCATTCCCGGGACCTCCCTCGGGGGCCTGCGTGTGCGCAGCCTCAGAGAATCAGCTGTTCCAGGACCTCCGCAGCCCCAGCTCCGGGAGCGGCAGTCTTTCCGCACCGGGCGTCTTGTTCGCCTGGTCCTGGGCCCCCAGAACATCACATAGCGATCGGGCTTGAGACATGCAGCGCTTCGGCAAGATGGTCGCGGTTGTTCTCAATGCTGCAACTTTCCCAGACGTCGGATCTCTTTGGAGGCGCCACCCGCGGGGGGCAGCAGTGGACGGGCCAGACCCCAGCGCATTCCTGCCACTGGCCGGGGCCCTGTAGCCACCAGCGGGCGGGGACCCATACTGCACCACCCCTGCGGCTGTGGCATGGGCGGGGTATACGCAGGCAGCCCCAGTGCAAAGCGTGCTCTCCTCCGATGCCTCGACGAGACAGAGCAACGCGCATGGTGTGCAGGCGAGGTGCACTGCCCCTGGTGTCCCCTCACGGCTCAGCCAAGACCATCGGCTGCGAGTGCCTTGTGCGCTTTCCTTGGGCAGTGAGCTTTTTCCGGGCCTTGTCCCTCACCATTCCCCGCCCCGCCGCCAAAAGGTGGCGGGGTGGGGCATAGGTGCTGCGATGGTGGGGCAAAGATGTGGCGCCGTCTTCAAGATTACGCGCGAAATATCCGTGTGTGTGTGCGTGTGTGTGTGTGTGCGTTTGTGTGTGTGTGTGTGTGTGCGCGTTTGTGTGTGTGTGTGTGGGGCGTGTATGTCTTGTGTATATGTGTCGGTGTGTTTACGTGTGTGTGTGTGTGTGTGTGTGTTAGTGTGTGTGTGTGTGTGTGGCCACAGTGCCCTCGTCTTCGTCCTACCCGCTCAACTGCGTAGCTGGTGCACTGCCTGCTACCCCGCTCTGCGCTCTCGCCCCTGCCTACTTGGCAGCCGGTCCGCTCCACACTCCTCGTCCCAGGCGGACGACCGCGCGTCGTGTCGCGGCCCTGGCCTTCGCCGCACTCCGCTTCCCACTTCCCGCCTGCCTTGTTGTGGCATCTGGCAGCTCGTGGCGGTGTGCTCCCTGTCACGGGCAGTGCACGCCCGTGTGTGCTCTGCTGCCTTGTTCTCCGTCGCGCTTGTGTGCCCGAGTCGCCGTACCGCTCGTCTCTTCGTCTTCGGCCGGCGCCACAGACTCCCTCGCCACCCATGCAGGGATGGCCCATGGGCGGCCGATCCAAAGACATCCCCTTCTGAGGGCCCAGCGGCCACGCGCTGAGGTGCGTGATGCTTGCTCGACTTGCTCCGCCTCCTCGCCTCGCGCGAGGGTGCGATCGCCACAATTGTGTGTGTGTGTGTGTGTGTGTGTGTGTGTGTGTGTGTGTGTGTGTGTGTGTGTGTGTGTGTGTGTGTGTGTGCGTGTGAGTGTGTGTGTGTGCGTGTGTGCGTTTGCGCGTGGATCCTCTAAAGGATCGTTCTCTTAGCAAATGGTGGCAGAGGCTTCTTGTGAGGGTGTCGGCGGATTCGGAGGCCTCCGACGAGAAGCCTTCTCGTAAGGCAGGGGGGCGTCGCAGAAGGCCATCCCTCCTCGCCGCCCCAACCCCCGGGGGGGGTGTGCTGCCGCCCCCTTCCTCGTTTGCTCCCACCCTGTTTCCTGCCAGTCCCTGGAACGAGGTGCCCCTCAATCTCGCCGCCCCGCTTGTCCTCGTGGCCCTCTGTCCACATTGCTTGTTTCTTCCCTGTTCTCGTCGGTCCCCCAGCGATCTGTGCAGGGGGAGGGGGATGCGGGTGATGGGGAGGAGCAGGGATCTAATAGAGGATGATGGATGACGATGTTGGTTGATAGTGAGGATGGTTCTGAAGATGGTGGTGACGATGCTGATGATGATGCTGATGATGATGCTGATGATGCTGGTGGTGGTGATGGTGATGCTGATGATGCTGATCATTACAATGACGATGACGATGACGATGGTGGTGATGATGATCATGATGTTGATGATGATGACCGTCATGGTGTTGATGATGAAGCAACTAGATGGTGTTGCTGCTGCTGCTGCTGATGATGATGATGGTGATGATGATGATGGTGGCGGCAAACTTGCGCTCGAGCAGTTTGAGGAGCTGGGGCGGTAGCGAGGACACTCAAACAGTGCAGGCGCCGGGGCAGGCGCCGGGCACGGCGAGGCGGTGATAGCGCGGTCGAACATCGTGCGGCTGATCGGTCTCAACCCGCTCTTCGCCTCTACAACCATGAGGATGGCGGAACTGATCATGGCCACAAGGACGGTGGACGCGCTCTTGCTGGCGGGCACGAAGGCCGCGCACAGAAAAGGACGAGGAGTGCTACGACAGAAAGAGGAGGGGCGGCTGGCGGCGGAGGCGGTGTGCCAGAAGGGCCCCTACACCAACAGGCGCAAAGGCTGCACGATCGGCCTGGGTAAAGACGCGCAGGGACGACACCTTCCGCGCGCGCGGGGTCTGCACCAGGTGCTGAGGGTCGTGCGCTGACGGTCCGACTGAAGAAGGGGCCGACTGACACGGTGCTGCGGGTCATGCGTTTCCCCGCTCAACCGTCGGAGGCCAACAAGTTGGCCCTGCACCAGCGGCACCAGCGGGCGGTGAAGTTATTGACACAGTGGTGGCGCCAGGTACTGCAAGAAATGCCGCAGCGCACAGTGCCTGTGTTCTTCGCAGACACAAGCGACGGCATCGGCATCTTGAAGGTGGGCGACGAGTGGAGGCGGGCGTGCTGCAACGGGCTGGGGCAGGCAGCCGCGCGCGAACGAAGACGAGGAGGAGCCGGTGAGGCAAGCCGCCGCGTGTTGGATGAGCAGTTTACGGCCGCCCCGTCCACTTTTCGGGCGGAGCCCGGGCCCGCGTGTTACGCGAGTGATAAGGAGGGTGGGCCTGCAGGCGGATGCAATGCCATCGACCGTGTTTTCGTTCCGCGGGGTTACCTGGAGCGGGCCCTGAGGATCCAAGCGACGCAGAGGGTGGGCGCGCAGATGCAGGCGGTCAGGGGCGCTCCGCCGCGTGAACACCTCCCCCTCCCGCTGGACACTGCGCGCCCGCGGTGATGGAGGCGGCGACGCTCGGCACGGATGAGGCGGCCTTCCAGAGGGCTTGGGGGCGGCAGCTGAAGGACAGCGAGGAGAGTTTCAAGGGGGTGGCGCCCGATGGCTACTTCGATCTGCTGGATGGGGTCATGCTGGAGACAGGCCACATGCACTTCGCGGCGGCCCAGCAGGCGCTTGACCAACGTGAACTGGGAGCGCAGCGGCGAGAACTTCCACGGCGACGCGCGGAGCTTCGAAGGAAAACAGGGCGCAAGTGAGCACGAGCAGGACGCGATCAACGGCAAGCTGAAGGAAGCCCCCAGCAGCTGCAGACGACGAGGAGGAAGGCGGATAGGGATCGCTGGAGGAACGGTAAGTTGGCGGGGGCGATGAAGCATCCACGGCGCGCGGCAAGTTGCAGGTTCTGCGCCGAGCAGGACGGCGGCAGGGGATTTGGGCCGCCACCTCTGGAAGGCAAGGAATGGGCGGAGGCGTGGAAGCTACTTGGTTGTCAAGGGGGGGTGAGGCGGCCGCAGTTGGTTGAGGCCGCCGGCGGGCCCGAAGGGATGGGCTCCTTCCGCGTCTGCCGGCCAAAGCGGAGAGGAAGAGCAGGCCGATCAGGGCGTGGGGGCCGCCGGCGCCGCGCCCATCGAGCTGCTCGAGCTGCGGGACCTAGCCCCGAGCGCGAGAAGGGAGGCGGAAGCGCGGCCGAAGGGGCCGGGTTTCACGGAGGAGGCGCCCCCGCGCGGTCTCTTCCGCAGCGCCCTATGCCACGGACTGCCGGTGCGCCGCGGCAGCGTGGCTCTGCTCGGCTGGCGCGGGAGCAGGGCGCCGGGGCTGGGCGAGCGCCGCGGCGCCGCAGCGGCGAAGGGTAAGCGCGCGATCCACTGCCTGGCGGGCCTGGGCAAAGCGCGCCACGCGAAGCGGGTGAAGTTCAGGCTCTTTTCCAAGGGTTACGGGTTCGCGCCCGGGCGGCGGATGGGGGGGGGGGGGGCGATCGAGGCTTCGCAGATCCTCGGCCGGCGGCCCGCTTGGGGGGGCTGGAGCCGCGCGGCGACGACGAAGAACTTGCAGAACGCACTCGGCAGGGTCAGCTGGGAAGCGCTGGATGAGGCGGTGGATCAAACGACGGACTGGCACGACGAGGCCTTTCGCAAGCAGCGCTACAGGGACACGTTGGTGGACTCGCCGGTGCACCAGGGAACGCGCGCAGTCAAGGCGGGCGATGGCGCGGCGGCGGGCGGCCCGGCCAGCGTCGAGGCGTTCGCGACGGCCTTCCAGGGGCCCGCGCAGAAGGGGGGGGCGGAGAGCGTGCGAGGGGCACGCCGCGGCGCCCTTGCTCACGCGCGAGTGCGAAGGCCTGGGCGACATCGACCTGAGCAGCCACCAGGGCGCGCGCGACCTGAGCAGGCGCCATCGGCTGGAAGTGGGCGCCGCGACGGGGGGGGCGGCCAAAAACGGGCTGGGCGGGGCGCTGGGCAAGCTTAGGGCGAGGCCGAACAAGGAGGAGCAGGTCACCGGCCTGACGGTCTAAGGAGTGGGGGCACGGCGGAGCACGAGGTGCCGAGGAGGTGCGAAGCTGCGAATACGGCCTCCTGCGCGATGGGCGGCCTCCCGAGCACGAGCGCGCCGTGGGGGCGGGGCGGGCGGGGCGGCGCGTGCGGAGCTCTGCTGGGCGCGCTGTTGTCAGGCATGAAGTGCTCTCGGAGGCGCCGCGGCGAAGGCTTGCGCCGCGCTTGGGTCAGCCCGGGCGAATTTCCGCGGCGGGGGCGGCCGCCGACTGGGAGCGAGGGCGGCAGCGCCAAGAGCCTGACGACGAACGAAGTGCTGGCGTACTGGAACATGACGGACGTGGGGGCCGAGCTGCTGGAGAGGCGACTAGGGCGGCATCGGAGTTGGGCGCCGAGGCGGACTTTGCGCGCGCAGCGCCTCTCCGCGTTGTTCGCGGTCCTTCCTGGCATTCAGGCCTTCCCGCCGCGCGCAGAGACGCGGCCGTCCGAGACGGCGCCGCATTGGGCGCGCCGAGTTGGGGGGTCATGGGCGAGGCGGCGAAGGCCGGCGAGGGCGACGCTGACTGGCTGGGGGGGCCGCGCAGGGCACCGTGGAAGCAGGGGGCGGGCAAGGAGCCCGCTTAGAAGTTCATGCTGCCGGAAATCGCGAGGCAGCCTGCGAGTAAGCTGGCGATTCAAATCCCGCCACCCACTGCGTTCGCGCCGGCGGAGACGGAGGGCCGCGCAGAGCTGAGGGAGGAGGAGCCCCCGCTGCTGAACATCTTTGCCGTCGGAGTGCCTTTAGCAAAAGGCCGACGGTGCGCGGCGGGTGTCGCCGCGCGGCGCCAGCTTCGGCACCGCCATCGCAGCGCGCATGACGTTCGTCACCAATTCCATGTTTGGTGACAAATGCAACCAGCGCGTAGTGCACGAGCGAATTCTCTCGGGGCAGACAGGGAGAGAGGGGGAGAGAAAGAGAGAGAGAGGGAAAAGGAGAGAGAAGGAGAGAGAAGGAGAGAGAGAGAGAGAGACACATGAATAAGAGAGAGAGAGAGAGAGAGAGCGAGAAAGAGACAGAGAGAAATCATCAAACACACAAGAGAGAGAGAGAGAGATAGAGAGAGTTGGGAAGACATATCGAAGCATCTGTAATTGCGCGAGAAGGGGATGCCGTGCTAGGCGTTGGAGTCGGGCCCTTCGTCAGAACAGACTTTCCACGCGCCTCAAGTGCGACCTTTTCGAGTTCGAGGCGGCGGGGGGGCCCGATCCCAGGAGGCATCTTGGATCGGCCCACCTATCCTGGCAAGTCCTTGCGGCGCCGCCGAGCGACATGAAGAGCCGCGGGGTACAGTATCATGCCGACGTGGCCCAGGCGCGCATCGCAGGAAGTGGCCGCCCCCGCATCGGGGGAGGCGAACGGCAAGCAGGCCGAGAATGACAAGGGGCTACAAGAGCGGCGGCGAGGGCGGCGGCAGAGGCAACGCGGCGGAGCTGCGCGAGGCGACGGCGAAGCGCGCCATGGCCACGGCGCGGCGGGCGGCCTCCATCGAGGACGCGGCGCGCGACTCGACGCCAGTGGCCGAGGGCGAGGGCGAGTCCAGCAACGAGTTCATCAGCGCAGGCGCGGAGCACGACGCAGAGAGGATCAGCAGGAACAAAAAACAAGGTGGATTACCGCGCGCGGGGGAGCTCGCCAGTCAGGACATGCGCGAAGGCGACGGCGTGGACGCCCAAAGCGAGTGGCCGGGGAGGCAAACTACCATCGCCGCGTTTCACAAGGTGCTGCAGGAGTTCTGCGCGGACACCGTGCTCAAGAGCACGGCGAAGCAGCTCGGGCAGGTGGCGAATCAGATCCGCTACAAGAAGTAGAAAGCCGCGGAACCGCCGAATCTCGGGATCCTGGTGATGAACTTCAGCGGGCGTGGAGCAGCATCCGTCATCGGGAACCCGATGTGGGACCACGTCAAGAACCTGGAAAAGGCGGACAGGGTGACGGGCCCACCGCCCCGAGGCCCTTTCGAAAGAGAGGCTGCGCGATGCCTGGCGGAGCTTGGAGGTGCGACAGCCTGAGGACGAGCGCGAGGCTGCAAGAACCCATCGCCAGAGGGATCGTGGCAGCGTGCGCGGTGAGTCCTGGGCGGTGGAAACGATGTAAAACAGATCTGAGCCCTGTGCTCCGCAGATTCCTGTAGCGGTCCTGGCAAGGGCCAATTCGAACAGAGGGAAGGGGGCTGGGTGGGGTTGTGGAGGTCGTTGTGGAGTGGGGAGGGAGGGAGAAGCAACAGCCAGAAGTGCGTGGGGAGGCTGGCCACCAGGGGACTCCTGGCCTGGGCCGTGCAAGTCGGGTGCCGTAGGGGGCCCGATGTGCGTGGATTGGGGAAGGGAGGTCAGGCCGTCAGAGCGCCTCCTGGAATGACGGCCCCCCTTAAGCGGGGCACCAGCCAGGCTGCGCGCCGAGGTGGAGGGCCGCCTTGTATGCAGGCAGCGCGTGCCTCGGGGCCCATGGGGCCATCGGCCTCGTGTATCTCTTTTTCCCGTTCGCCGAACGGCGATGATCCGAGGCTCCTTGGATTTTGTTTCCCCTAGGGCCGCTTAGCATTCCGTGGACGTTATTCGGCTCAACTATGTCGATGATGATGGGGATGCTGATGCGTACGATGTGGTGATGATGTTGGTATGGATGATGGTGATGATGCTGATGGTGATGATGCTGGCGACGACAACGACGACGACGACGACGACGACGACGACGACGACGACGACGATAATGATGATGCTGCTGCTGCTGATGATGATGATGATGATGATGATGATGATTATGATGCTGATGCTGTTTATGATTGTGGTTCTGAATGTGGTGATGGCGATGACGATGATGATGATGGCGATTGTGATGTTAGTGGTGGTGACGAGCATGGTGACGCTGGTGGTGGTGATGGTTGTTATGTTATGACGATGGTGATGATGGTGGTGGTGGTGATGCTGATTGATGATGCTGGTAAAGAGGAAGGGGGCGCCGATGATGGTGCTGCTGCTGATGCTGGTGCTGTTGGTGGTGGTGATGGTGATGATGATGTCGACGATGGAGAGGAAGAAAAGGAGGATTTTCTGCGTTCCCTCCTCACTGCTCGGATCGGTGGAGGGCGCATTCAGATGTATTGGAAGGGGAAGGGGGCTGCCGTTTCGGTGGGCAGAAGCGACCGGCCTTGTCCGTCTGCGGGGGGGGCAGGACGCAGAGGGAGGACGGGGAACGGAAGGAGGGAAAGGGGGAGAAGACAAGGGAAGGAGGAATTGCCAGCACATTGGGCATTGGGGCGAGGAAGGGGACGAGCAGGGGGAAGAAGCAGGAGGTAGGGGAAGGTGCATGGAACATGCAGGGGCGGAATCATGGGAAGAGGCACTGGAAACCTCGGGCAGTCGCAGGGGGCCTACGCCCCCGGGACAAGCTCAGGCCCAGGGGCTCCGCCCGACGCCCCTCCTGCGGCACACGGGGAAGCGGGGAGGGACACCGTGAGCGGGGATGGGGCACTGGGAGAGGTGTCTCCGGTGGTCGGGCTGTTTTTCTTTGCGGGGGTGATCCAGTCCGTCTGATCCATCTCCTATGTTTTGCTGGGGCAATGAATACGTCCACTAGATTATGTCATGCCTGTCCACCACTGAATCGCAAAGGGCGGCCCAAACACAGTTTATATATATATATATATTTATGTATATCGTGCAACACCTGTCGCCCAGGGAACCGGCCGGAAACTCAAGCAATACAAGGGGGCGGAGCGCGCCAGGTGGGGCCAGCACCGATTAGAGAAGCCCGCGCGAACTTCCGAAAAGAATGCTCATGTATTTGTGCCTCACTCTACCTCCCCCTGCTCTTCCTCCTGATGCTCATGCTCCTCCTCCGACGGGCGGGGAGACGATCGTCGCCGCAGAAGGCGCGACGACAGCTACGACGACTACGACCGCGGCCGCGACCGCCGCCGCCGCTGAGCGCCCCGGGCTCGGTATGCTGAGCGGGCCCATGCAGCGGCCGTCTGGAGTTTGGCGCCTGCTGAGTCGCGGGTCGCAGATGCCAGCCAGAGGGAGCGGGACTGGGCAAGTGGAGCGTCCCAAGACAGGTATTACAGTAGGCACGTCAAGTAATACACCAGCCTGAAAGCAGGTTGCCCAATCATGTTTCTGAACCGCCACAGGCCCGGGTGACCCACATGTGTCCTGGGGCAGCTCAGGACGTCAGGACAGTTGAAGATGGACGACGGAGGTGCCCCTAGATTTCTGATCGCATTCTTTCTTATTGCAAATGTGCCGCCTGGCAGTTTGTTCCGACGCGCGGCCCTACGCCTTGAGGAGGACGCTTCGGTCACCAGGGCAAACTCCGCCTCCGACCCAGAGTTGACCGCGAGTTCGCCGTGGTGCCTGCGTCGTCTACCTGGGGTGCGGGGTGCTGGGTTTGTCGTGGGTTTGCCGTAGCGCCGGCGTCGTCCTCCAGGGCGCGTCGAGAGCAAGCCGCGCGGCGACATATGTACCTGCTGTAGGCATCGAAGGGTTTGCCTTGCACCCTCCGCGGAGGCCTGCGGAAGGCCGGCACAACGGAAGCCACAGCAATTTCGCTAGCGGACGGCTGCTAGAATCTGGTGTACAAGTGGCCCCTGAGAGAGGTCGGGGGCCTTGAGATGGGGGTCAATGCGAACGGGGGTCAGCCAGAGCGCCAGATCTTGCAGGATCCTGCAGGGCCAGGGGTGCATGACCTGGGCTTGCGCGCAGGACCTTGCAGGATCCTGCAGAGTCCTGTTGGATCCTGCAACGCCTGACTGACCCAGGTTTGTAGTGACCAGGGTCAGTGCGTCCCCGAAGTGGTGAGCGCTGACGCATCCACGGTTCCTAGTTCAAGGCAAGTAGTATCGCCTACGGCGGCCCCTGCAGTGGATGCCTCCGAAAGGGAAGGCCCCCTCGAGCTCCAGACCTTGGTGCGCTCCTTGTTCCACGGGTGTGACGTCGATGACCCACAACCTTCCCGCCATTAGCCCGCTCGCAGGGGGTTGGGGCCAGAAGGTCGGAGGTCGAATCCCCCCCTGCGAAACCTTTCAACGCCTACTGCGAAGGCCTTACGGCTGGTGCCGCCGACCCTGCAGGTGGGACGCCCCCCTCCTGTACCCCCGTCTTCGCCCGTTGGAGTCGAGTTGCGACCAGCACCGAGGCCACCCGAGGCGCCCGCGCCTTCTTGGCGCGGCGCCCGCGCCACGGGGCGTGGCGCAGGCTTCGCACGCCCAACGCTGTGGTTGCGATCGCAACCTGGCCACGGGTGAGCGGGGTGCTCAGGGAAGTTGTGGTTCAACTTCCTTGGGACTGACGACGACGGCAGCTCCTCCACACGCCCAGGGATCGGCGGATTTGGTATATTATTTTTTTGTTGACACTACTGTCCTCCTGTCCCTGCGACGTCCTTGTTTGAATCTGCCCTCGCTCGGAGCATGGTTTTTGTCCCCACAGTGGGGGATCCAAACGACAGCGTTTCAGATGTGTTGCTCCCTAATAGTGAAAGCGGTCAGAGTTCGTCACAGCGGTCAAGAAGAACCACACATAAGTCACGCAGGGGGGGATGGGGAGAGCTAGGAGACCAGACTACCTGAATCGCCGTGCCGCCTGAGACTTCCTTTAAGATACTAAGTTCGCAGAAGAGTCCAACAGAGGGGGGGCGGTAGGAGACCGGACTCCCCGAATCGTCGTTTCGCAGGAGGGCTCTTCGCAATTGGGGACCACAGAGGCCGCTTCGCTGGAATTTTCAAAGTTACCAACCCGAGACCACAATAATCTCACAAGGGGGCCCGGGGAGAGGCGCAGACCGGATTCCCAGAGTCGCCGTTTTGAGAAAGACTTTCTTACACATTAGATTGTCTAGTAGTCATGCTCCGGGCTGGTTTGTAACCTACGACCGGTTGTTTCTGAAGTACACTAAGCGCCGCGCGCCGACCAAGTCGTTGGCTCCTTCGCCGACCAGGTCACCGTCCCCAGCATCGTTCAGCTCACCGACTCCTGCGCCGACCGACGCGACGACTCCAACGTCGAACAGATCACGGACTCTCATGCTGACCAGGTCGCCGACTCCAGCACCGACCAGCTCACCAACTCCCGCACCGAGAGGCTCGCCGATTCCCTCGCCGACCAGGCCGCCGACTCCCGCACCGACCATCACCGACTCCCGCACGGACCAGCTCGCCGACACCCGCGCCGACCAGATCGCCGACTCCCGCGCCGTCCAGCTCGCCGACTCCTGCGCACACCAACTCGCCGACTCCATCGCCGACCAGCTCGCCGACTCCCGCACCGAGAGGCTCGCCGATTCCCTTGCCGACCACCTCGCAGACCCCCGCACTGCCCAGCTCACCGACCCCTGCGCGGTCCTGCTCGCCGACTCCCGTGCCGACCAGATCGCCGAAGCCGGCGCAGACAAGCTCGCCGACTCCCGCACGGACCAGCTCGCCGACTGCCGCGCCGACCCGCCCAACGTCTCCAGCACCGGCCAGCTCGCCGACTCCCGCGCCGACCAAATCGCCGACTCCCGCACGGAACAGCTCTCGAAGGCGCTATCCAGAGGCGACTGCCGCGCCGACCAGCTCGCCGGCTCCCTCGCCGACCAGGTAACCGACTCCAGCATCGCTCAGCTCACCGGCTCCCGCCCCGACCACGCCGACCACAGCGTCGGCCAGTTCACCGACTCCCGTGCCGACCAGGGCGCCGACTCCAGCACCGACCAGCTCGCCGACTCCCATCTTATGGGGTGGTGGTAGGGTGGTAGGGCCACTCACTGGGACATCACGCTCACGGCCATCGGCCTCGCCTTCTGAGGTCGGCCGCTGGCGGCAGTATGCGTCGCTGCCTCACTTTCCTTTTCCTTTCCGCTTTCCTCGTGCATGTTAGGCCTCCGTTCTTTGTTATACTTTGCGTGAATAGTAGGCCCCCACGCGGCCGCAGCCACCCGACCCCACCCCTTTCCCAAGGCGGCGTGCTTGGCTGGCTGCCGCCCCGTGGGACTATCGGCCACTCCAGGGCGCCTTGGTGCCCCCATTTGATTGATGTCCATTTGTAGCCTTTCCTGTGCAGGGTGCAACTTTCGCTGCTGCAGGCCTGTCTCTCTGCTCTATTTGTTACCTCGCACGTGGAGCCTGTTGGCTGTGATCGTGCTGTCCTCTCTCCTTCTTCACTCCTCCTTCTCCTCCCCGTCCTCCAGTCTTTCTTCTTGTACTGTTTAGGTGGGCGTTCTTGTCCACGACACCTGCTCTTCCACTTTGGCTGCCTAGAATGCTTCGTCGCGGTGCTGTTCGGGGTGGCCACCTTCCAGCGCCCGTCTCGCCGGCGCGACGAGGTGTAGGGAACTCCACAACGTGAGCGGCTTGACTTTTCATTCCACCGTTTGCTCGGTGCTTGTTGTCTTCGGGACCTGCTTCCGCGCCGAAGGCGTGCGGCACTGGTCGTCCGTCTCAGGAGCATTCTGCCACTGGGCCATACTTATAGGGCACGCAACCGACCGCCACTTTGAGGATCTGCGGAGCCTGGGTAGAAGCAAATGTGGGAGATGGTTCTCCGACGCACGCTTACCGCTTTCAAGGCACCGGCTTTCAAGTTTCTGGTCGTGGATTGGTACATGAGTGTACATGTGACGATCGACAACCGCCGTTAGTCTGGGGAGCATTTCGCCCCTGGGTCGCGTTTTCTCGGACCCTCAGGTGCCGTGTGGTCTTGTGGGTGCAAAAAGAAAAAAGTACACATTAAATTTTCTAGGGGTACACTGGCTGCTTGTTCATATACCCTTGCAAGTTAGGGCCACAGGAGGCCGTGTCGCTTGAGACTTCCACGCGATCTATGACAGCAGAAGCCGTTCCGCCTGAGACTTATTCATATTTCCTGACTGCTGGATTCGTTTCGTTTGAGACGGTGCTACCAAGCATGACCGCAGAGGCCGTTTCGTTAGATTTCTCGATAGTAGAAGTTTGGATGCTTCGCGTAACTCCACCAGCCCATCCAGAAGCGACGCACAGGCGAATTGCCCTGATCAGGGATGTCGAGGAGCATGCAATGGAATAGCGGTCTGGGGGCGACGTCATACCCTAAGAGGTGGCGGATGAAGGAGGAGGAGGGGGAGGAGGAGGAGGAGGAGGAGGAGGAGGAGGAGGAGGAGGAGGAGGAGGAGGAGGAGGAGCAGGGGAGGAGGAGGAGGGAGGAGGAGGAGGAGGAGGGAGGAGGAGGAGGAGGGAGGAGGAGGAGGAGGAGGAGGAGGAGGAGGAGGAGGAGGAGGAGGAGAGGAGGAGGAGGAGGAGAGAGGAAGAGGAGGAGGAGGAGGAGGAGGAGGAGGAGGCGGAGGAGGAGGAGGAGGAGGAGGACAGGTGGGGTGGAGCAATATAAGGCCTGTCCTAACGAGTTTTTGGCCCCGGCCGCGGGATGCGGTGCGGACCCCCCCTGCGCTGGGGCGAGCTGCGCGGCTGGGGCGCGTGCTCGCCAGGCCTGCTCCAGGCAGCTGTGGACAGAGCGGCCTGCCCCCTCCCTCGGCCCCGTTCTCCACCCCCTCCTCTTTCCCCCTTTTGTGCTCTCCCCCCCCCCAACTCTGCGTACTCCCCTTCTCCTGTTCCTCCTCCCTCCAGCGTTCCTCCCCGCATCTGTTTGTTGTTTCCCGTCCGTATCGTTCTCCATATTTCTCCCCCGTATCTTGCTCCCCCTTTTCCCCCGACCCTCCTTCCCCTCATCCTCCCCCTCCGCCCCCCCCCCCCCCCCTCCGTCACCCTCACTATTCGCCCCCACCTCCTCGGCCTCGCACTCTCTCCCCCTCCCCCTCCTTCGCCTCGACATACATTCAATGTACGTGCTGCCTTTCTCTCTCTTCTGATGTTTGTTTCTTCTTTTTGTTCCGCCCGCCTATCACCACGCGTTTGTGCCACACGGGATGGTCCCGAGTTGGCCTCCGACTCGTTTTGTGCTCCATCCAGGACGCGCTCGCC